TTAGACGTCACAGGCTCCCAGAGAGCCGAGCATTTCTGAGACGAGAGGATGGGACAGTAGTGCTGCCTGAGGAGGGCCGGCTGCAGGATGCTCCCAGCCCGACTCCAGCAGGAGCCCTCAGAGGGCTCATGGTTGTGAGGCCTGTGATCCAGCTGTCCTGCTTGCTGAAGTAGGGGCCGCGACTCCCCAGTCATCTCTGCCTGCGCCCTGTCACTCGGAGGGAGGGACAGGGGAGGGGTAGCCCAGCTGTGGGGTGGGGGTGCACAGGGGCAGTCTCCCGGGAGGGCTTGGGCACAGGCGGGGCCACACGATGTCGCGGCCCCTATGTGGTTAGTGCGTGGGTGGGGTCTCAGCGAGGCGGAGCGCGAGCCTTCGAACGTTCTCGGCCGCGTTGTAAAGGCGGCGTCCGTGCTCCTCGAGGCTCAGGCGGTCTCGCAGCTGCACCTGCTTTGTGTGGGGCGCGAGACACAGCCGAACCCTGGCCCAGACACGGGGTGGGACGCACCCAGGTGCTTGGTCAGGGCCGACGCTGGCTGCTGGAGGACCCCGGCCTCTCTGGCCACCCCTCGGTGGTCCACAGAGCCCCGACCCGCAGCCCTCCACCGTGAGGGGACTCGTCCCCCCTCACTGACAACCTGTCTCCCCAGGTTGGTTCCTCTACACTTTGGGCCAGAGAGCCAAGATCGGCGGCCTGCGCGAGCCCTGGTACGTGGCAGAGAAGGACGGCGGCAGGGGCGACGTGTTCGTGGTGAGTCGGGCGGCAGCGGCCACGCTGCGGGCGTGACCAGGCCAGGCTGGTGGGGTCCTGGGCTCTCCTCTGCACCCCAGGGCTGGCCCGAGGCGCCAGAACGACTTTGTTGAGGTGCTTACCAGGCTCCTACTGCATACCGCTCACTGTGTTAATCGTCGGGTTAGCCCCTGTCCCCACTGTCCCTCTGGTTTTACCGAAGAGGACGAGACACAAAGGTTGGGAAGTGTGCCTGAGGGCCCGTGGAGAGGAGGTAGCCTCAGGGCCTGGGACAGGCCCAGGAGGTCACTGTCGAACAATGTAAGTGGCAGAGCCAGGACCAAACCAGTCCGTGTGCCACAGCGGTGCCCTGAGCCACTGTGACCCTGGACTCCTGCCCCGGGCTCTAGAGCAGGACATCGCAAAGGGGGTGAGTTGTCGGAACACAGGGGAGGGTGGGGAGAGTAGACGCTACTGCTATCTAGTGGGTGGAGGCTGGGGGCCCCCGCCTTGAACCAGCCCCAAGTCTCAGTGGTGTCAAGGTTGAGAAACCCTGCTCTGAGCAAGCTGGGTGCCATCTCGTGCTCTGTGACAAAGCTGGGGAACCTTCTCTTAGACACAGGCAGAGAGGCCAACAGCCCTGACCAGTTAGTTCTGGGACGTCTTCCAAGAACTGTGGGCATGAAAGCCTGGACAGCGATTCTGGCCAAGCATGAATTAATGTGATTTTGGTGTAAAATTCAGTGGTTTCTTTTGCTTTCAGAAAAAACAGAAGTGTCATTGACTGATATTTGTCCCTGTATGGGACTCCCTGCCTACTTAGAGCCCAAGGCCCCAGGACTTAGCGCCCTTGGTCCTGTCTCAGAGGGGAGGCTTACGAGATACTTGGAGGCCAGGGGGCTCTTGGGAGTCAGGACAGGAAAGCAGACCACATCAACCACCTCAGGGAGCCAGCACCGTCCCTTCTTTCCCCAGCCACGTGGGGTTTGGTGGGATTCCTGTAATGGTTTTTCTGAGAGACAAGCCAGAGGCAGGGCTGGCCCATGTCCCTGGCTCTAGGTGGCTTGTGGTGGAGACAGAGTGAGATTTGAACTTGGAGGCGGAGTGCTGAGCGAGGTCCTAAGTTCGGCTTATACATACTCGGTTGCTTGCCAGGTGTGAGTGACTGTGACAAGTTACTTTCCGTCCTAGGCCTGCGTTTCTTCTTTTGCAAAATGGGGGTCGAAAGGCTCTTGAGAAAATCATGAATTTCCACGTCTGACGCTCCAGTTTTGAGCATGCATTTTGCTTAGGATTATCATTAACAAGGGACAGTGAGGTGGCTTTGAGTCAAGGGGCTCATGTGCCAAGGGTGCCAGGGCATCACGACCTCTGCTTTCCGCTCCGCAGGCCCCCGGCACAGACCACCCGGCCTTGTTCAGGGACCTGCTGCGGACCAGCCGCGTGCACTGGATTGCTGAGGAGCCGCCGGCCGCCCTGGTGCGGGACAAGATGATGGAGTGCCACTTCCGGTTCCGCCACCAGATGGCGCTAGGTGACTGAGCGGTTGGGATCACCCGGAGAAGCCAGATTTAGGAGTCCCTGTTGTTTGGATTATATCACATCTTCAGACCCCCTTTCCTTCTGCCTACGTTGGGGACAGGCCCGGGGGCGCGGCGGCCTAGCTCAGCTTCCTGTGTCGGGGTGCAGGGAGGGTCCCAGAGGTCAGCGCTGGTCTGAGGGTCCAGGTTGTGCATATGCTTCCTGTGGGCCCAGGTGGTGGCCCTTGAGCCCCTCTGGCTGTCAACGCCCCTTGGCTGGTGCTCCTTCTTCCCTGGGGCCCGAGGCCTGGGGCTGCCAGGCCAGTGACCCTCCAAGGGCCCCTCTCCCCCACCCAGTGCCCTGTGTGCTGACCCTCAATCAAGATGGCACCGTGTGGGTGACGGCTGTGAGGCCTGTGCGGGCCCTCACCCCAGGACAGGTGAGTGGGGTGCCCGGCCCTGCGCCGTGCTCTGGAGCGAGGAGGGGACACGCGCTGGAGGGAGGGGACACGCGCTGGCAGGACACATGTGGCCCAGGCCCAGCCCTGGAGTGGAGACAGGCTTTAGCACTTGCTTGGCTGTCCCCAGGTGGGGCCGTGCAGGTGAGCAGGCTTGTGGCCAGTGGGCTTCGTGCTCCAAAGGTGGCACCTCACTTCCTCCTCCACCAGCGTACCTGATTCACAGGGGCGGGGCTGAGGGACAGGGGCCGTGAGTGCTCAGGTCACAGAGCCAGTGAAGATGGGAGCGTGGGAGCCTGCCAGCACACCAGCCGCTGGAGGCCCAGCTGCTCCGCCCTGCCCAGCCTCAGGGCGGACCCCAGGGACAAGGACAGGTAAAGGAGAGGCAGAGTGTTGTCCAGCCTCTCCTCATTCTGGCCCCAGACCAACAGCCACAGGCCCAGGCTCCTGGCTGCTCCGCAGGCTCCCCTGATGCCGAGTCCCCCTACGGGTGACGCAGGCGTCTCTCCTTTCCAGTTCGCCGTGTTCTACAAGGGGGACGAGTGCCTGGGGAGCGGGAAAATCCTGCGTCTAGGGCCTTCCGCCTACACACTCCAGAAGGGCAAGAGCAAAGCCAGAGTGGCCACTGAGGGCTCCGGTGATGGCCCAGGCTCGGGTCCCACGTTCTAAGCACCTGGGAGCAGATGTGGCAGAGCAGAGCCTGGGGCGGGCGGCCAGGGGTTCAGCTGCTGTCGATGGACCAGGGGGCGCCTGGCTGGATCTGCCACCCCTGTCTTGGCCAGGGAGAGCCCCAGCGAGACCTCCCGCATTGGAGCTCCGGCCACAAGGACTTACTGGCGGGTACGTCTATCCTAAGCACCCCACTTATACAGTTCCTACCTCAGGGGAGGTTTCCCACCCAGGAGCACACAGAGGGGTGTGAAAGGGGGTGCAGGGACAGCGTGGAATAAAACTTATGTCCAAGACGTGGATTCTGGCGGTGGCCTGTGTGGGATGGAAGACAGGTGGGCTGTCTTGGGGCCCCACAGCACTGGGCCCCCAACTGTGGGAAGGCAGGCGGCCAGCATGGGGGAGCGATGGGAACCCCACCCTCCTCGCTGAGGTCCCAGCCTCACCTGAGGCAGAGGACGTGTGACTGGGCCTTGAGCCAAGTCCCAGTTGCTTGGGATTTCTGAGGGGCGATGAGGTCTCGAGGCCACCCCTTCCCCCCAGAGTGCCCAGCACCCCAGCCCGGTCAGTCATGTTAGAAACCATCCCCGTGAGGAGTTCTCGTGGGGTAGGAAGTTGGGGTGACACACGTGCGTGCGTATCTCATTCAGGCCACTGTTACAATGTCCCAGACTGGCTGGTGTATAAACAACAAATTCATTGCTCTCATCCTGGAGGCTGGGAGTCTGAGATCAGGGTGCCAGCACGGTCGGGTCCAGACTGGCTGGTGTATAAACAACAAATTCATTGCGCTCAGTCCTGGAGGCTGGGAGTCTGAGATGAGGGTGCCAGCACGGTCGGGCGAGGGCCCTCTCACGGGTCACCCAAGGCGCGACTGTTTCCTGGCACCGTGGAAAGGCGCAGGGCTCCCTGGGGCCCCGGTCCCATCGTGGGGTTCTGCCCTCCTCACCTCAGCACCTCCCAAAGGCCCCGCCTCCGCACACCTTCACATCAGGCTTTGGGGTTTTGACTTGTGAGTTTCAGGCGCATGCGCAGAGCACGCAGTGTGCGTGCACGCGCAGGGGTGTGGCAGATGAGAGTGAAGAACCTCGGAGCCGGCTGTGTTAGTGGGTCACATGCTTTGACCAGGGACATTTTGGTCAGCACTGAGCCCTGGAGTGACTGTCATCTTGCCTGTGTATTGAAAGAGCGGGGCTGGGTGGTGGCCCAGGACTTGGAGGGTGGAAGTCTGGAGGCGCATGGCCCTGGCCCCTCCACTTTCTTCACGGCCTCTGTGCTGTGGGAGTGGTCATCATCTGGGTCAGGCAGGACGCTGCCACTGCCCAGGCCACTGCCCAACTCCCTGCGCTGGGGGTGGGGATGGGCGGGGTCGGGATCCCTGGTGCTGTCCTCAGGGCTCAGCCAGCTGTCCCGTGCTCCCTCTCTCTCACTGGCCTCAGACTCACTCCTTACTTGGAACTTCAAGGCAGGCTTCTTGGGCGGCGGGGGCGGCCGGTGGGGTGGGGGGGGGACGGTTGGTTGGAAGGTTCTAGCCCAGAGGCAGCAAGTCCTTGGGAAGCAGTCATGTGCCCCCCCCCCTCCGGGGCTCAGAGCCTCTGGTGCCGAGTGACCAGGCCGCTGGTGGCAGGGCTAGTCCTCGGTCAGGGTGCCCTGGTAGGATACCGCCCCCCGCCCCAAGGCAGGTCACAGCCCATAACTGACCACAAGGGAGAAG